GACTCTCTTCACTCTCGGCCGTACCAGGGCATTGGGAGGGGCTAGCTCCACTTAATTTACTCCTATAATACTAACCAAACCACTATAACAACTTTCAAATCAAGGCAAAAATTATATGTTGTATATTTCATAATGTTCTTTACTAAATATATTCGTAACATTATTGAAATGCCTGTGATAATGGCAACAGAGGTTTGCCTTGATAATATACAGGAAAATTTGTAGTTTTCAATATATTTAGTTATGTATTCATTTAGTATGATTATACTAAACTTATAAAATATTTTCTCATCATAAAATAAATATAATACGAATAACTGAAGGTTGTTTAGTGGCTTTCAGAAATGCATTTTATAAATTACCAAAAACTATAAACATTATCAATTAGCATCCATTTTCCTTTCACATCAAAACCAGGTTAGGGGAAAGATGGTTTCACAAGCATCAGAGATTGAGAATAAATAAGATAATAACAGTACAGCTGCCATTCTTAAAAATTAGTTTTCAGTTTGATTTCAATCAATTTTTCATTATGTAGTGTAACGACGTCTTAAGGTTTTATTTTGATGGAATTTTGTTCTCTGAGTTGGATGGTTTGGTCGTGGAGATTTCATCGTTATTCTGAACGACATCCCCAGCACAAACTTCAGGTAGAAGTGAAATGTTCGAATTTCTCCACATATGACTCACAACTTGTCCTGTAGACCTCGACGTTGATTGGCTATTGTTGACTATTAACCTGTCATTGTTTAATTCTTTATTTCTAATGTATCTCCCATTGATTTGATTTTCGGTCCTATATATTATTTACCAATCATCTTAAGAAAGATTAGTGAAATCATACAGTACAACAGATAAGTACTAGAAAACTTTGTATACAAGTACACTGGTTCAAGTTTTTAATATTATACATTGGTGCATAAAAGGAAGTTGGTGAAAGGAAAAGTTGTTAAAATAGATTAAAAAGACATAAGCAAAGGAGGGAAATCTGAAGATTTATGAAAAAAAAATTAGAAGAGTGAACGTATTTGTGCTATTGTAAATGTTTTCATGCTAAGTTATTCAAGGTTTTCAAACGACAGTTACTAAAATATCTAAAACTTGCCACATGTACATGAAAAATACCTCTGGTGAATGGTTCAGATCAACAGCTAGTAATTTAATGGGCTCCCCACATCTTAATATTAACCATATGCTGATCGAGAGTCATTATCAAGAAGAATTCCCAAAGTTGACTGATGGAGTAAAATCAGGTCTGATGTGAGGCGATCAGCCACCAACTACATCAAACATTTGAATTCCCACTTCGTTATCTAAATCTATCGTTCTGGTCAAGAAACCCGAAATTTCTAGGTGTGGTCCCTTCTGCTTTCATAAGTTCACAACGCTAATGAGTATTGACTATAATTGTCCCTTGGTGTTCAGTGATTATCCAGCTATCCGGTAAGTTTGTGATGAAAATTAACTTCAAACTGAACAAGTCTGCACAAACCATCATCTTTTCACTTGAATAAAACTAGACATATTTCACTCCGATCAGTCACTTATAAGCATTGTAGAACCTGACATAAATGTGCATCGGTTCAAGTCTTCACAATGCGCCAGTTCAACGAGATGAAATTATCAAGATAAATCTCAGACTTGTATAAGGAGCAATCGTATCAGTAACAGTAAAAATTATTGCCTACAGACAACAAGATTCTATATACATGACTCAGTCCAGCAGCTAATGACCCCAAGAGTTGATAACATTTTGGTTTGGTCATCCTAGCTTTCTGTACCAGTAAAAATCGCCTATCGAGATAGGCGGGGGATGGGTATAAGTAATACACTTCCCACCCATTTCAGTCAATGAAGATCCATTAACTTACGAACCGATTTCCCATCTTTATCTAACACCCAAAATCTAATCTCAGCATTACTTACTCAGTGGTTCCAACATACGTGAGGAATACCCTGAAGGCAGTTGTGATCAAATATTAGTGAATTAGGGCTATCCTTTATTTTTAAAGGTCATGTTTAACAACCTCAAAGCAAGATAAAACAAACTTTTCCTCAGAATACTTGACTACTATGTTCATCAAACTTCAGTGCGGCTTAAACTCTTAGTGTATATTTCAATAAAATAATATTGCATCAATTTATACTATATTAAATAACCAAAATAATAGAGAATATTATTATTTCACCATTATGCACTTATCTCCAGTTAGTTAATTATTTGTTTATGGTAATTAACCTTTAAACTTAGTTTGAACCTAATAACGAATGTTCACTTTACAAAAACACTTGAGAAAAACCTTGTCAATAGTTTAGTCTATTCATCAATGAAAATAATATTGCATTAATTACTTAGGATTTTGATGGACCTCTTATGAATTTCAGCAAGAATGGCGTTGCACTTCAAAATTTATAACTAACTCGTTTTATATGAAAACAAAATAAAATAATTCAACGTTGTCTGCGATATGGTAAAGGAAAGGTTCGTTAAACGTTTTTCACCTGTTCAGCTGTAATGAGATTTGGAAATGACCATTTCTTAATTATTAAGAAATAAGCTTAAAACTTTTGTTTAACGTTCAAAGTTTAAATTATTCGACTTTTTAGTGTACTATTTTCACAGTGTAGACAAAATACGGAACTATATTCTCAGAGTCAGAGAGAGAGAGGTCGAATGTGAGACGAGAAAGCAAGTTACTTAGTTGATGACCGATATTATTATAGTCTCAAACGCAAAGGAGAAAAGTTGATCATGATGAACCATTCTGTTCCAGTGATAATTTCCCTATCTATCTTTTGATGAATACTTTAAGCCTTTAACAATTAAACTATTATTTGTTTCCCTATTTAGAAAAAAATTTTTGAATAATTTTGTTTATTCTACCTCAGTTAGCATGTCTAACAGAAGTTTATTATCATTATTATTGTAATTAACACCCTGGAAAATTAACATATATTTGAGACTGTATAGCTTCGAAAATGAGTTCGCTGAAAAGAGAACTCTTTGCTGAACCAATCATTCTTACTCAATGTCTCAATGGGTGTATTCCGTTTACTAAAAGTCGATAAGACCTTGAAATTTTAACTATGAAACTTTGTAGTTGAAACCATTGAGACCTGTAACATCAGGGATCATAAGTGCCATGATTATAGATAATAGATTAACTGGTCTACTGTACTTCGTATTATTTAAGTTCCTCTGAATGCTAATTTAGCAAATTCCGTATTGATATAACTAACAAAGTTAAAATAAAAACTACTTTTTAATTTTAAACCATTTATTCATCTATGCCCAGAGTAATTATCACAACCGAGTTAAAACTCAGTGCTCGAAAATTCTAAGTTCAATCAATTCACCCTGCAGTGAAATAATTATTCAGTGCAATCGCTTGACAGTTTTCTCACTTCTGACATGGTTGAACTTCATAAATCACTGTGGACCACTGGTACTTCAGGAATCGATCTCAAAACCTTTTATCACTATAACATTAAAGACACATATTACGTCTGTTACCTATCGTGGAGCACAGACCACAGATCAGGAACCGCCAACCTACACTGTCATGGACTCTCCTTTCTAGTTATTTACAAGTTATATTAATTTTTTGAACCGTATCCAGTTTTCGTCAACTCTGTTCCAGGCAAAACATATCGTAAATCAAGTAGCCGGTCAGAATCAAGGTAGATGCACAAAAACAAATATATTCAAATGTCAAGATTTTTAATGGTGATCTAACTTAGATAACAACATAATTTCAATGAAATTAATTGAATCACAACAAATTTTAATGGGTCAAAGTTCGTGAAGTGTTCAAATAAAAGACACTGACTTCATTTTTCTGCATGAAATAAAGAATGAATGTAATATTCATTGAACAATAGGATGAGTTGTATTTCTACAACAGTTAATGTCACATGTAAAAGTAATTGAGAAACGAGTATTTATTTATTCAGACTCAAATGAAGTTGAGGAAGACAACGTATCTAGTATTTAAATGGATAAATGGAAGCGAACTAACATATTTAACACATTGAATAGACATTATAGAACTAATAGCTATCTATTTACATCGATATCACAGTGATGAAGAAACCTGTACAAATACTTGTTAATAAATACTGGATACATTAAAAAACCATTTAAAATCATTCAGTGATTTCTTATAATCGCTGTTATCTAGTCACATGAAAGAGCAATGCAACAGAACGTTTAAAATAGACATTAACAGTACAGAGGATAGATAATTTTACCAATAATTGTAAATTAGCATTGATTTTAAAGTTTCATATAGGTTAATAGATGACCGTAAATTATTTCAATCATGTTTCAAGTAAATTATAGTCTTTGTTCACAAGGGGTCTTTCCAGATTTTTTTAATCTATTCAACTCGATAAAAAACGTATTATTGCTAAAACAGTCTTTCTACATATCACTCCGTGTAGTCAAATTTCAAAACTGCAACCATGCATCGAGTTTTAAAGATAAATTAATCATATATTGACTTGGCAACTTAAAGCTTCTAATCCTAAGTTTGCCTGTTATTAATTCAGTGTAAATGATTATAATTTACTTCAGTTGTGTACTAGTGTAAACCAAAACAAACCAGCCAGGTATATCTTAGTATGGGACTTGTCAGGAGCAGAGACCTACAGCCCTCTTAGAAATCAAAGCCAGGAACTCCGGGTCTCTGGTTGAACACTTAACAATAAGAATCAAGGGATCGGCGTCCAGCTGTACTATTACAAATTCAATCAATTCGAGATATAAGGTGATATTCTTTGAATACCATCAGTGATAACTGTTTCACTTCCGAAATGTCCAAATTAAGGAAACTCATACTTGAAAGAAAAAGCTACTCAGCCATCTTTCAATGATACCCCGACTAAAAACAATCCGTGGTGAAGATAACCTACAATAAGAATCGATCTCTCCGATTATTACTTACGTAAGCAGTTGTAGTGATAAAAACAATTTTTATCGAGTCTAGCATTTAAAAACATTAGTCCATAATAATTAACCGATACATACTTGATGCTTGAATTTTCATATCAGGTTTATAATTCACTTCAGACTGAATATAATTATAACAGTTTTGTAATTGAGTTGACTTGTAATTTGCATTTTCTGTGAATGAAATAGTTCTTGGTTGATTATTATTATTATTACTAGTGCTTATGTTGCTGCTATTATTGTTTAAATTATCTGTGGTATTTTTTATATTTACATCATTTACATGACTTGATTGATGATTTACAGATATACTGTTATTAAATCCAACCATAATAATATCGGTTGTAGAGTCTTGTGTAGTATTTATTGCAGGACTATTATTATGATTGTGTTTAATGGTATTACTTTCTTGAAATCTTGGTTTAACATCTTCAAGAATGAATGGAGTACCTAAACCATTATGATTTTTTAAATTATTCGATTGTACAGTATTCGAATGCAAAATAATGGAATTATTTGCACTCTGTAATTGTTGTAATGGATATTGTTGCTGTGGACCAGATTGATGAAGTTTCAATAAATTATTTGTATCACCTATTCTTAATACACCATGATTATTATCATTATTAGTAGTATCACTATTACTAGTATTGATAGTTCCATTATTATTATTATTATTATTACTAGTGGTAGTTATTGTAGTAGAATTAGTGGTATTAGGTTCATATAATTGTGAATTATTATAGTTTGTCAATTGATCTATGCTTCCATTTAAATTAAACTCAAGTGAATTCCAATGATTGAATGTGCGCATGTTTAAACAATTTAGATTTTTTAATTGTTCTGTATTACCATAATTTAATGAACCATTTTGATAAATATAACTCATTACGTTTGATGCAGCTGCTACAGTAGAATCAATGGATGAACTTGTCATGAGATCTGTTGATAAATTTGATAAAAACGGTTCTGATATACTGTTTGTTAATGTTGGAAGTTGAGTTTCTGTTGTCCTATTACTATTATTAATATTATTGCTATAATCATTGAATGAAGATGATATCATAGCATTATTATTGATCTGATTACATAAGAAATTTAATTCAATCCGTGGATCTTGAATATGATGTTGTTTTTGTTTCAACTTGGATTGATTACCATGTGATGTTGTTATAATATAATTTTGACAATTTTCATCAATATATGTTGTTATACCTAGTTGATCAGATAGATCTAGTGAATTACAATTATTGGTTAACTTTATTTGTGATGATTGTGAAATAGATGCAGAAGAATTAGCATAACTTAAATCATGTGGACTGTCAAGTGTTTTCAACAAATAATTTTGAATTTTCATATAATTTGATGGGGATGATGTTGATTGTTGATTGGTTAATAAATTTTGATTAGCGTCTGTATTTTCATCACCAATTAGTATATTGGATGAATTGTTTATACTGTTAGATAACTGAAATGATACAGCTTGCGGATTGGTTGATATATTACCTGTTAAACTATTTGTTCGCATGATATATTCACATGAGGAGAGAGAATTATTAGAATTTTGACTAGAGGGTAGAAAATTATGTATTGTAGATTGTGGATGAATATCTATTGTTGGTATATTATTTACTCGATTGATATCAACGATAGATGTTGATAAAATAGATCCAGATATATTATAACTTTTAGATAATGGATGAAGTAATTCTTTGGCAGAATCTATTAAGTATAATGTTTCAAATTTATCTGGATATAATTTGTAATCTTCATTGGATTGATTATCTTGGTTGTGTTCTTGTTTTAAATTCTCTACGTTTTTAAACATATTATACTATTTTATGAAGCTATAATATGGATAATAATGATAATTAATAAAACGATATATAATGAAGATGGATATCTCACTAAAATCGATACAAAACAGTTTGTATTGCTCATTAAAGTCCATCAATATCTATGCAATTGTACATTCATCTGATTACAGGTGAATATTAAATCGAATAAATGAATTATTAAGTACCTTTCATATACATAAAGGAAACTAATTGAAGCCAGCATAATCATCCAAGTTCATTATATATCATAATAGTTTAAATTGAATTCATATCAATCTTCACCAGTTAAATAAGTATTCATATTATGTATACAGTTCATTAAATTACCTGGTTAATTAATTGATTTGAGAATTCAAATAATAAAATTAATCAATCATTGCTTCTAACTGTGTATGTATGTATTAATACTACAGGAATATATATATATATGTATATGGGAGAGAGCATACATGGAAAATATAATTATTGGTCAAAACGGTATACATAATCAAAATTAATTCTTTTAAATGGTCAGCCTATATATATATATATATATATATATATATATATATATATATATATCCAAAATTACACTGATAATATCAGTAGTATTTCGAGAAACGTTTAATAAATATGAAGTATTCGTTTTTAACTGAAATAGGACTAATACTTGGATTGTGACTAGAAGGGAAATCAATGATAAGCGTTTTATCTTATTTCAGATCAGTCACCTAGATGTCCACATGAAGAATTGAATCAAATACATGTCTCGTCAAATATCAATACCCAATCAATTTCAATCCTTATTATCAATAATGGGAAAGTATAAACCCTTATATATAATTTCCTAGAGGTTGAGAAACTATTCATCTGGACTTAATGTCTTTACGGATGCGTTGATGTTTGGAGTGATAGGTATTGAATTCAAGCCTTGTGTAAACATCTACAATGGAATGAAGGACATTTCAGATGAAGCGTCAGAAATAGGACAAAACAAGCCTCTTGGATACCATTGCTAGTCACAATCCATATTTACTAAAAACTTATAGCTAAAAAGCGATTTTGAGCCAATCCGCTCATGGTGTGCCTATCTCAATAGAGATTGATCAATTGTAAACCTAATATGAATAATAAGGCAATACAATTCCTTAAAATAGATTGACATCCTTTAAAAGTATGTGAATATAAACTCACGTTAAATAGAAAGTAGCATATCTAGTATTATATAAAAATATATAATTTACTCAATCTTCAGTTATTCTCTATCAGGTATGTAATTTAAAATAGATGTATTGTCATATCTAATTAGATTCACTATTATCTATGCGGTCAAACCATAGAAGAAACATTAATTGTAATTAATTGTAATGAATCTAAACGCTTTCTATTTCACCAGATAATCAGTACAAATTTGAATTACTCTTTTACAAGGTATGTAAATCAATATGAAAATCAGGAAATGAATAATTAAAAACAATGATTAGGAAGCAAATCTTAGATGATCGAATACAGATAAAAACTAATAATTAAGACACACATGTTACTTACTATCTAAATAATTATTAGCTACAAAAAATTCCGTTACAAGAATCATTCCTTAATTTAAAGTACGGCAATATATTGTACATGTCGCAAAATAACTCGAAGGTCCATCTTAAGTATAGAGTCATATATGCACACACTACTAAAATTCAATGAACTACTCGCTCACTACCTCCGTGATTTTCAACAATTCCACATTCGACTTCAGTTTGTGATGAAAAACCTACCGATATAGTTTGTTGAAACAATTCATCATATCTCATTATTCATGAAGGTTTGAATAATACCCTTGTTGGCAGTGAAGACTGGATTTTGGTCAGTCTTTGATAATATTTGTGAATAGTATGTGGATCGCATCGATATTCTGTTTTTCACTCATATACATGATAATCTAATACTCGTTGAACAAACTAGTGGCTAACTGGACTCAGTAACTCGATGGATAATGCGTTAGTATTGGAAAAAAAGGTGCTAAGTCCCGAGTTTAGCATAAACAGTAATAGTGGTATGGAAGTAGATCCATCTGACAAGTCCCAAAATAGGACGAAAAGTTCATCAATAGTTCCACCTCCAGACACTATCCACCTATTCTAAAAAAAGTTTACTAGATCGATTGAAGTACAACAAAGATCTATTCTACCTTGTTCAACTGAGCTGATAAAAACAGTAAGAATCCAATTTAGTTGATCAATGAAAGGCAAAACATATATATCTGGTATTCAAATTAGTTCAGATCTTCCCAGGTGGCGTTGCCTACCCCATCCCGTAGAAAAGAACCATGCAAAAAATGCTAACCAATGTCACGGCAGCTTCAGAAGTAATAGACCTCAACATACACAAAGGAAAACGCAAGATCCTAGAATACTACACAGCGCGTAGCAGACAAATCACACTTGAAAAGCTTTACATACTTGAGTAGTACTGTGATGTGTGCTACTTATGTAGACATAAGTAGTATATGATGTTAGTCGTGAACAGAATGTCTGGCAGCAGAGAGACAAGAAGATCTAACAATAAAGAATGGAAACAGAATGCAATTTAGGTGAAAATGCAAGAACAAAGGAAGTCTGAGTTATTTGAGACAATTGATGGACATTTTGCAAATTGAGCATTTAATGAATGGATGTTAGATTTTACTAACTAGTTCTGTAATTTGTTGTTAACTACAATCGGTTGTCTCCATTGGTGTTCTTCTTCACTACAGTACCACTGATAAACAAGGAGAATCTGATACAGATATAAAGGTCAGGATTGGCAAAGCAAGAACAGAATTCCTACGGTTGAAGAACATATGTAACTTGAAACAACTGTCAATCAATATCAAAGTCACAATCTTCAATACGTACAGTTCTACTGTACGGAGCTGAAACTAGTAGAAGTACCATAACCATCATAAAAATTAAGAATCTTTATAAAAAGTTGCCTACGCAAGATACTAAATATTTGTTAGCCAGATGCCATCAGTGACAACCTACTGTGGTAGAGAACAAACCAACTTCCAGCTGAGGAGGAAATTAGGAAAGAACGCCATAGGTAAATAGGATATATATTGCCGAAATCATTAAACTGCATCACGAGGCAAGCCCTAACTTGGAATTTTCAAGACTAAATGAAAAGAGATAGACCAAAGAACACATTGCGCCGTAGTTGAAGGCAGATATCAAAAGGATGAGTGGCACTTGTAAACAAATATAAAGGAGAGCCCAGGACCGAGTAGGTTGGAGAATCCTGGTGGAAGGCCTATGGTCCTCCATGGGTGGTAACAGGCGTAAGTACGTGATATATTTCAATCTCACTATCAATAAAATGTTTAATGTTAAGGAATTTAATAGAGATATAAATTTCAACGGGTACCCTTTATGATTATTACACTATAAAGATAAAAATATCTGGTTATTGAGTAATAGTAATTAAATGCAATATGAATTTTTTTAGCATCTTTAGTACACCATATTCCGCGCTAAATAACATTCTTAGTCTAGTCTATCTTTTATATGCATTTTCCAGAATTCTGAAGGCTTATAAAAGTCTCCCAACTATGAGTACCAAATTAACAACTTTAAATCACTTTTGCATACATGATTAATTATTAATTAGAAAGTTATAATCTATTAGAAATAATCCAATGTTCACATTCCTAATTATTTTCCCTTCTTATTCTTTGAATCTTGTCCAAAAATATGAATAATTACAAGACTATCTTCGATTTAAATTCTAAAAAAAACATATAATAACCTTAAATCATGATTAACCTTAAGTGTTAACAGTAGTCTATTGATCTGTACTATTTAATAGAATCAGTGATTTGGAATAATTTGGTTTTATTTTCATTTATTTATCAATTTTCCTTCTTAGTATGCTAGTTTTCTATCCCTGAAATATTTACAGAGTGTGTCTTTTTTCTTCTTTCTATCAACTGTTAAAATGACGACTCTTTTATGGAAAACAACGATTTATCATTGATTTTGTCTTGTCGTTAATTAGTCTGAAAAGAAAATCCATATTCACAACATAATTATTTTGTATGAAGAAAACATATACATAAACACTTATTTATGTGAGGAAGTTTTAAAATGGGAAACTAATGTAACAAACAAACCTACTGGTCTTGAACCTAGAACTAAGATGATATAAAATAAGCAAATCGAAGTATTACATTCAGTAAATTGTCAAAGAAATTCAAAAATTATTTTAAAATGTAGCCTATAGATTATACATTCCGATTATTGTACATTATTCATCATCATACCGTTAATGATTTCATTCAAAGATAATATAAGGCAGAATATCTGTGAGGACTCAACTTTCTTTTAGGGCATACTTATTAAGATCGTGTTTTTACACCTCACTCACATTTGTATGAAATTAGATAATAAGCTGACTAATTCGACGTGGAACTTACTTTTCAAGCAATTTACTTGGCACGAGATTAAGTTTATATTAATTAAACTGTATTAGGAATAATATGTCAATTGTCCCTTGTTAGTACATGACAGTGCAAAGGACTTCTCATGTTAATATTATATCATTCTTTCTTGATAATTTTTTAGAAACTGGGCAAAACATCGGAACGATTTTGTCTTTTTTATAACTGTTAACATTTTTAGAAATGTGATTCATATTCGGATTCCCTTTATGCATGGCGTCATTTATTTTTGTGTAACTAATCATTCGACCTCTGATGATAGCTCTTAAGATTTCGTAAATGAATTCAAATATGATTATTTTGAAATCAACTAGCCATCGATTGAATTACAATAAATATTGTCCAATAAAATGTCATAATTGAAGTTCCTATTTATTGTATTAACTATATTACTCAAATAAACTCTGATTAGTGTAACCTGACTACTATAAGTTTTACAAGTGATATTTTTTTAAACAAAATATCTAATAACCTACCGACCGAAATTGGCGACGAACTCATACGTTTGAGACACTTCTTTTCCAACTGCTCGAGTATCTCAAT